CCCTCAGGTTGCCTGCTATATAGCAAGGACCTTAGTCCGTCTTTGCCTGCTATAGCAAAGACCTTAGTCCCCATGCCCTCAGGTTGCCTGCTATAGCAAAGACCTTCATCCCCGTGCCCTCAGGCCAGTAAATGGAGGGAGTCGGGAGTCTGTAGTTTGGAACCTGGCTGAGAACCCAGGCATTGGGTAGTTTCTTTAGGTCCTTGCCTGCTATAGCAAAGACATTAGGCCCTATGCCCGTTAGTTCTTTCCCTGCTATACCAAAGACCTTAGTCCCCCATGCCCACCGGCCAGTAAATGGAGGGAGGTGGGAGTCTGTAATTTGGAACCTGGTTGAAACCCCAGCCATCATTGGGTGGTTTTCTTAAAGCACCAGTACACCATACATCGGCCCGAGGGTGTCCGCATGAAACCCGCACCGCTTCGGAGGCCGCCAATTTTTTTTTCAACGGCCCCCCTTGCGGCGCGGCGCCTCCGGGTTTTGCTTGTGGCAACAAATACTGTCTGCAAGGCTGGGGTCGTGTACTAGCGGTTTAAGCTGCCAGTACACAGCCCCAGCCTTGCTGAAAAGAAAACTCATCGCCTACAAAAATTTCGAACGCCCAGCGACGTAGATAAATTGAATCGGCGGTGGGCAACCTCCGAAAAGGGCCCGCGGCCGATAGCTGGATGTACTGGTGGTTCAAGGTCTTTGCCCTGCTATAGCAAAGACCTTAGCCCCCATGCCCTCAGGTCTTTCCGTATATAGCAAAGACCTTAGTCCCCATGCCCTCTGGGCAGTAAATGGCGGGAGGTGGGAGTTTGCAAAATGTTTGCTGATAGCCCTCCATTTCCAAATTAGGGCCTCGTTAGACACTCCTTACGAGTTCCTTGAGCCACAAGGAAATTTCCTTGTGGCTGACTCATCCTTGGGGACCTCCCCCAAGGATGTTTCCTTGTGGCGTGCCCGCGGCCGTTTTCATACGGAAATTAGTGGCCACGGGGTCGGTGGTCCTTGGTCCACCGTCTTTTGTCCGTGTGGAGGCGGCGTGGTCCAGCGACGTGTGGCGGGAAACGGCATGAGGCCGGCGACGGGAAAAAAATTTAACCCGGGGGGCGTCAACGTTTGAAATTTGAATTTCTAATGACGCTTGAAACACATTTCCGTCTGCGGGACTGCATCCAGAGAAAAGGGGCCAGCTTTCGACGGACGTCTTCGACTTCTTCGTTGGGTGTGGAAGGACGACACACACGGCAGCGGAGCGACGGGTCCGTGTCCAGGTCGCGGCTATGGAGGGCGGCGGAGAGGGTGGACGTGCGGTGTTGAAGCCTCTTGAGCTGCAGGTCATGGCGGCGGCCGTGTCTACCGTTGTTCTTCGATGTCAGCAGGAGAGGGCGCTGGGACGACTGAAGGAGCAGTTGCGCGCGCGTAGACAGAGGACATTGATGCAAGCTCCAGACGATGGCCCCGACTACGTGGCGACCTCGGAAGCTGTTGTTCAGCTGTGCTATGCGTTGGGTTGCAGAGTGATTCCTCGAGCGACGCCGAGGTGGTGGATGAAGCGCAGGACTGGGAGCAGGACAGGGAGCAGGACAGGGAGCAGGACAGGGAGCTGCCGGTCTGCCGTTGGTCAGTCGTCGATCCATCCTGTCGCCGTTCTTGAAAGATCTCCTTTTGCGAGCCGCGACAGGGAGCAGGCCGACGAAACACACGTGGAAGAAGACAACGATGAGAAGCAGCACGACGACGAGGAGTAGCAGAGGCAGCTTGTGCAGCAGGTCGGCCATGTAAGGGCCGTGGAAAGGGCAGCAGCTCCACATCAGTGGTCCACCGTCCAGCGAAGAACTCCGTCGACAGACGAAAAAGCGAGGGAAGATCTGTGCTCCGACATGCAAGGCGTGACGACAAGCGACGAAAACGACGATCTTCCAAAATAAAACTGTCGTCGTGGAACGCAGCGCCGACGCGGACAAGCATTCAAATTTCCGACCGTTGTCGACGATCGCCCAGCGCAGCAGACCGCATGACACCGGCCAGCGACGCCCAATTTGACGGACGGAGGCCTCACGCGGACGGTGACCGTTTGGAGCCGTTGGGGTGCCCCCCAGACGGTGGAGGGCAGGGATGTCCGTGCTCCCGTTCGGTGGACCACGTCTGGACCACCCTCAAACCGAAACTGTGCATCGACGCATGCCTTCGCCGCTCCGAATTCCACGCTTCCTTGTGCCCCGAGGAGGTCCCTTGGGGATTAGGAAAAATTGGCTGTAGCCACAAGGACGCCACAAGGAAATTTTCTTCTGCTGTTTTCACTTTTTTTTTTGCGAATCGTCCCCGAGGACAGGAGGAACGAGCACTTCCTTGTGGACCGGGTCCACAAGGAGTGTCTAACGAGGCCCTTAGTACTGCCGTCTTCCCCCACAACGCACCCCTCATTTGACCGTATCGGGCCGGAAACATACCTTGTGTATGTTCATGCTCAGGGTGCGTATTTTTCGGGGGAAGACGGCAGGGAGAACACTGTTTCCTAATTTACGGGAAATCGTACTTGATGCTAAACTTCGAAAACAATGAGTTTCATACGATCCGGCTTTTGGCTCCTTCTTTGGAAAAATCTCTTGAAGCTCAAGGAAATCCCACAAAAAACAAGGAGCGTCCCTTAGACGGTTTTCGAAGTTTAGCATCAAGTAGGACGGCTCCTTGTTTTTTGTGGAATTTCCTTGAGCTTCAAGAGATTTTGAAAGATGAGAGTAGATTAGTGAAAGGAAGGGACGCTGGACCCATTTTCCAGCACGGTTTCACACCTTCCGGGTTGTTTGTGAGGAATTGCGGGCCTCCTTTCATTTGCAATAAAAGCTAATGATTCTTCCAAAAAAAAAAAGAAAAAAAAARAAAAAAAAGGAAAAAAAAAAGAAGGAGCCAAAAGCCGGATCGTATGAGGGCAATCCGTCAAGTACTGCCTTCTTTTTTTTTTCTAGGTTTTTTTGTCTTTTTTCTTTTCTTTTCTTCCGTTCCTTCTTACTTGTTTTTCCTTTTTTTATCTTTTTTATTTTTGTTATATCCTTAATGCACGTTCCACATGTACGTTGGCAGCATTATGAAGCGAGGAAGAGGGAGGGAGGGAGATCGAAGGTGGGTAATCATTCCATGTCGAAACTTTCCAAATCGGGATAACAATAGGAAGAGGGGAAGAAAGGAGAAAGAGGAGCGGAGGGAGAGGGAGGAGGAGGAGGAAGAGGAAGAGGAAGAACCGGAAAGGTAGCTTGTATACATTCATTACCAGGGTGCGATATGTTTGGGGGAAGACGGTAGACACCTACCGTCTCTTCACCCAAATAGAACGCCCAGTCATTGGCGGGAAAATGAACGGATTGGGAGGAAAAAGAGGCGGGAAACGGGAGGACGAGAGGAGGGGAGTAGCGCGGGAAACAAGGAGGGGGACACGTGGAAGGGAGAGATTACACTATTACCCGTATGATGACCATGGCCAAATTGGCGGGAAGAAGAGCTGGAGAAGGCAGCAACGTAAGGGGAAAAAAAAAAAAAAAAAAAAAAAAAAAGGCTTATAGAGGTGAACAGGAGATGGTGGGGGAGAGAGAGGGAGGGGAAGAAGCAGCGAGGCCGAGTGGCACTAAGAAGAGGACCGGCCATGGACAAGGGCATACTCACACTACCAGGACTTTCTCAACCTGTCCGCGGACGCAATTGCGGTGAAGTGCGTCCAGGCCTGACCGTAAAAGCGGCCAGATACATGCAGAAAATTCTCCTTGTGTGAGTATGGCCAACAAGGAGTACAGCTGCTCATACCGCCGCCAGGAACGACCTGTGACAACGATGCATATCATTAGGACCAGGTACAGTCTCTGATCCAAACAAGGACCAGCCAGGTATAGCCGCTGGTTGGCATTAGGGCCAGGTACAGCCGCTGGTTGGCATTAGGACCAGGTACAGCCGCTGGTTGGCATTCGAACCACACACAACCAGTGGTGCAGATTCGAACCAGGCGCAGCCGCTGGTCCACAGTTTCCCGCCAAAAGCTGCAAACTGGCGGGAAGAACAAGAACAGCGCACGCCGCCGACCATATCTTCTTTTTCTTTTTTTTTTTTGGCAAATTCCAATCCACCGCCGACCATATCGAGACCACTACACTTAGCGAAAAACCTGTCCAAGGGCACGAGTTTGCCTGAATGTCGCCGCGAATATGGTCCAGATTCATTCAGGGAAAAGTGATGGGAGCCGTGAGTGTGTCTTTGCGGTTTGGTTGTCTTTACGGTTTGGTACAGCCATAAACGGGGTGCATTGTGTTCGAGGGAAGACGGTACTCTCGTATACCTGCATCCCTATCCCAATCCACGAGCCCCACTCGCGCCCCACGTCCTCATTGCTCTCTCTCTGCAATAATATTCGTTACCTTTTTCGTTTTTTGTTTCGTTGCACTTTATTTTTCGTTACCTTTTTCGTTATATTTTTTTGTCGCATTTTATTTTTCGTTATATTTTTTTTGTTGCATTTTATTTTTCGTTACCTTTTCCGTTACATTTTTGTCTTGCATTTTATTTTTTTCGTTACATTTTTCCTTTATATTTTTTGTTCACATTTTTCCTTTGTATTTTCGGTCACATTTTTAGTTGAATTTTTCCTTTGTTACCAGCCTTCTTCATCCGCTTGCTGCATACAGAGGGCCTCGCTCCACTACTCACCAAATGCGCAAAATGGGACTGAATTTTCCGCGAGAACATGGGAAGATACACGGCCATATTTTTTTTACTTTTGCATGTGGTGAGTGGTGGAGCGAGGCCCATTTAACGACACCTTCGAAGAGGGCGAGGGTCACAAGACAGAGAAGTCGTCGGAGGTAGAGGAGAGGGAGGAGAACGAGGACCAAGAAGAGGACCAAGAAGAGAGGACCAGGAAGAGAGGACCAAGAAGAGGAGGAAGGAGATGGAGGCAGGAGGAGAGGGGAAGGAGGAGGTGGAGATGGAGATACAAGCAGAGGATATGGCGGTAAGAGCAGAGAGGAGAAGGCCCAACAGGGAGGGAAGAAGATGGAAACGGATGAAAGAATGCGGAGGGCCGACAGTGACGGACGACGAGCAGGCCGAGGGTGAAAGAGGAGCGGGAGGGGGAGGGGGAGGGGGAGGGGGAGGGGGGGGTGGAGGAGGAAGAGGACGAACAGGAGGGCAAGGCAGAGGAGCAGAAGGACGACGAAGAGAGGGAAGAAGAGGACAAGCAGCAAGGGGACCGGAAGGGGGAGGAGAAAGAAAGGGAAGAGCAGGACATGAGGAGAGGAGAGGAGGAGGAGAACGGACTTACCCGTAGGATACGTAACACTACCGGTAGCTGCTTGCCCGACGCGGCGGGATGCACCTGACCTCAACTAAGTCCACAGAGAGGCGGACAATGTCTTCGTGTGAGTTATGCCCTTCGTGGCGCTGGGGTATTTGGCAGTAGAGCGACCCAAATCTGCCCTGCAATGACTTGTTATCCCACGGCCAGTGGTTTGACGCATATTTTCTGAAAGAAGAAAGATCTCTACTTTCCCCTCGTCATCTCCAAAACTAAATGTACGAACCTAAATTTGAATTTTGCCCAGCCTTAAAGTGACCAGTACCACGGCTGGAAAACTGAGTAGGCCTCACTTGAATTGAGTGCTGGACTTTCTTAAATTTGAATTTTGCCGAGCCTAAAATAAAAGTGACCAGTACCAGGGCTCGAAAATTGAGTAGGCCTGACTTGAATTTTGAATGAGTGCTGGACTTGCTGCCGGCAGATGGAACAAGGCCGTCGTTTTTACTCAGGTGTGCCACCGCAGCTGAACGCTCCACAAAGACAGCCCCTGAATCTGGCCCAGTTCGAACGCCAGATACAGGCAGGACAATGAAGAAACGAACACGGAAAGAACCCGCCTAGAAGCACCAGGCAGCAAAACGAGAACGACAAACTAAATCAAGCAAGCGAAAAAAGGAGGAAAAGGATTGTGGACATATAAACCACCAGTACCTCGCTCAGTGTTCGGCCGCGGGCCTTCCCGTATACGCGCCGCAGCCTCAGGCTGGTCGGCCAAGGGAAGGCCCGGTCGTAGCGCCAAGGCCGGGCCCCCGATCAAAAAGAAAGAAGAAAAAAAAAATGAAATACACAAACAAAAAAAAAAAACGGGAAAACAGTTGAAGTCGTGAGAGAGAGAGA